CCTGTAGCCTGGGCTACTTTGGGAAGCTGAGCTTTTGGAAGCTCATCTGGCCTGGAGCTTTGAGGCTAGCCTGAGTGGTAAGACGCCCTCTCAAAGATAAATAATCCCTAGTGTAGTGTGTCTATCTCTCCAAAAGGAGTGAAAGACTTTTTTCCTCTTAGGCTTCTGTTGCAGTGTTTTGTCTGTACGCTCGCCTGCTCGTTTTTTTGAGGCAGGGTCTTACTGTGCTGTTCCACTAGTTTTGGACTCATGATCTCGAGCAATCCTCTTGTCTGCTGGGTAACCAGGACTACAAGAATGTGGTACTGCCTGGATTCTTTAAGTGTTTAACTAGTTGTTTATTATTATTATTATCATTATTATTTACTGTATTTTCTGATTTAAAAATTAATCCAGGGGGCTGGAGAGATGGCTCAGCAGTTAAGAGCACTGTCTGCTCTTCCAAAGTCCTGAGTTCTATTCCCAGCAACCACATGGTGGCTCACAACCATCTGTAATGAGATCTGGTGTCCTCTCCTGACATGAAGGGAGAGCACTGTATACATAATTAATAGGTAAATCTTTAAAAAAAGAAAAGAAAGAAAGAAAGGAATCCAGATGCCATGAAGTATTTAAAAATCAAAATTTGCTACTCAGCCATAAGCTTTGGATATTCCCTTAGCCAACACAGTTTATCCAAAAGAACAAACAGAAAAAGAAGACATAAATTATCCAAAGAACAAACAAAAAACAAATTATATTTATGAGCCTTGGTGTGTGTAGACAGAAGTTTTTCTGTTTCCCACAGCCATTTGGTCCCAAACACACAGAGGCTTATATTAATTATAAACAGTTTGGTCTGTGGCTTAGGCTTACTGCTATCCTGCTATTACATCTTAAATTAACCCATTTCTATTAATCTACATATTGCCATGTGGCCATGGCATTACTGATCTGCTGGCATATTGCTCCTTGGGTGGCAGGCTGGCAGCTCCCTCACTCTGCCTTTCTTCTCCCTGTCTCTTTGCTTGGATTTCTCACTTGACTATAACCTGTCTTGCCATAGGCTAAAGCAGCTTCTTACTAACCAATGGTAGCAACACATATTCACAGCAAACAGAAAGACCATTCCACAGCATTTCCCCTTTTCTGTCTAATCAAAAAGGAATATTTTCAATTTAACATAGTAAAATTACACATAATAAAACAGTTATCACCAGGCATTGGTGGCACACGCCTTTAATCCCAACACTCAGGAGGCAGAGGCAGATGGATCTCTATGAGTTCGAGACCAGCCTGGTCTACAGAGTGAGATCCAGAACAGGCACCAAAACTACACAGAGAAACCCTGTCTCGAAAAACAAAAAACAAACGACAACAAACAAAAAAACAGTTTTCAAGCAAGAATAACAGTTACAAAAGTCTAGTCTATTTGTATTTGGCAAAATTCAAGAAAATGTTCTATCCTATTTTTGTGGGTCTAAAGTTTTTTATCTAATTTATCTTTTATGACTAAGGAAAACAGTTATAACTGTCTAGTCTTCAACTCCATCAAAGACCCCAGAAAGATATAATATGACATAAGTAAATAGGAAGTGCATTGTAAGCAACTTCCTAAATTCTAGAAATGACAGAGACATCTGGCTGCCTGTACAGTCACCCAAAGTTCCTCTGTGATGTCTTCAGCCTATAGGTCTAGAGTCTCTGGCATATTTTTCAGTGAAGCAGGAAATTTGGAGGACCATTTCACCTATTCTGGCAGTTTGTCAGTCACTTTTCCCTGTGTCCTGCAGAATGTGTGGCAGTTTCTTCTGTGAAGTGAGAACCTGAAGGACCAACTCATCCTGTTTTGGCAAAGTTCAGTGGTCATCTTCCTATGGGTCCTGCATCTTCAATTTATCAAGCAGTCCAGGCAAGAGCAGTTTCTTGCCCAAATGGCTAGCCTTTTCTATATTGCAAGCAAACTCCATAATGAGTTTCTTTGATGCCCATCATCTTCTTTGAAATAATTGGTGCTGTCAGGAGCAGACATGTCTCACTGTCCAGAAAAAGTCAAAGTTTGTAAAACATTTTAAATGCCATGTTCTGTAGGTCTTGGAAATCTTTGAAGATTACTACCTGATTGAAATATATCTTTGTATACCTACAAAACTTAACTAACATAACTTTGAGTATAGATGAACTAACTATTACTCTGTATTTCTTAATAATACATTATAATTTTAAACGAGTTGCATAAACATAATACCTTAAACAAGAGTAGAAATATACATACAGTATAATAAAATTAACTTTAAATTTAAATCAAGAAACCAAAATCCATACCAATGTAAAATATGTAAGTTTAATAGTTGTATTTTTATTAAAGTAGATTCAATAATCTACCTTTTATCCTATCATTTCTATATCATATCCCCATTTTTTCTTTTAGAAAGAGATTAACTATGACCAATAACAATTTGTAACCAACCCCCTGTAAATGAAAACAAGCATTTATAAACTATATTTTGGGAATTGGCAGGCTGGCATCTCCCTCACTCCAACATTCTTCTCCCTGTACCTTTGCTTAAATTTCCCACCTGGCTATAACCTATCTTGCCATAGGCCAAAGCAGCTTCTTTATTAACCAGTGGTAGCAACACATACTCAGAGCACACAGAAAGACCATCCCACGGTAGGTGTGTAACTGGATGATACAGAAGAAATTCAATAAAAAGGTAATCTTTTTTAAAGCATCATCTGGATGCCAACTTGCTTCTTTTTAAGGTCTGTCCCCAGACACTGGTGTCACACTACTCTGGTGCACAGCTCCTCCCTCAGTACTCACCTTTCAGGGGATCTTGTGCCAGGTACTGCTCTCCTGTCCCCATCTGTCCAGAGAGCAGCTGCTGCTCACCCTGCCTGCCACTCGGGGCTGTGCTCCAGGGCACACGAGCTTGGAGGATTTTGCTAACTTCTGGCATCCACTCTCCCTTTCTTGAAGTCTCAATAGCTGGAAAGAGCCTGTTGAAGCGTAAGTCATTTTATTCTTGTGCCCAGTCAGCAGCTCCCCATTTCTCTCCATAACATCCCGAAGAGTATAACGCACCATGCTCCCTCATGCTCATGCTGACCTTGCTCTTCCTCAGGTATGCCGTGTGTGCTGCTGCCATAGGTCTGTACACATCCAACTTCCGCTTCATAGAATCCTCTCCTTCATGGACCACTGCTTCCAGATTACACTTTGGGAGACCTTCCTGGCCTTCCTCTCTTGCTTTCTTTCCTTTCCCCTTCGAGTATGTGCATGCCCTCATATGTATGTATGAAGTAGAGTCCTATCACCATTTGCATAATTTTGAAATTCACTTAAAAGCACCTCAACGATGTCTATTTCCACGCTTGTGGGTAGTTGGAATCTAAATCATCTGAAGTGGTTTGATCTGTTGCCTGTCGCTTATTGCTCATGCCACAGCGCTCCTCTGTGGGTTTGCTTTGGGGCTGTTGCCCCTGTGTTAGGACTGTGTCTGGAAAGGTCCTTGGCTGTCTGCTTTCGGCTCTGTCTCTCAAGCATGCGTTTACAGAGACTGGAGATGTAGCTCAGCAGTTAAGGGCACATCATGTTCTTGCTGAGGACCCAAGTTCAATTCTCAGTACCCAAGTTAGGCTGCTCACACCCACCTGTGACTCCAGCTCCAGGGCATCTGACACCCTCCTCTGGACTCTAGCCATTTACAGTCTCGTGTGCACATACACACACACATGTACACACGTATTTTTTGAAGTTGATTTTAAGAAAATAGATTTGTAGTTTTCACGCCAGACGTTCTAATTCTTAAAACAAAGTAGTAGTCTCATTTTGAACCCTGATTTTTTTTTTCTTTTCATTCTTGAGATAGGGTCTCACTGTGTAGCCTTCACTGGCCTCGAACTTGCAGAGATCTGTTTGCCTCTGCCTCCTGAGTGGGATGAAAGGTATGAGCTACCACAGCTGGCTTGAACCCCAAATTCCTGTTTGTTTGGTTTTTTTTTATCTGTATGAGGTTTAGCCTACACATATGAGGGCCTGGAACTGGAATTACAGATGGTTGTAAGCTGTCTGCCGTGTGGGTGCGGTGAACAGAACCCAGCCTGGGTGCCGTGTGGGTGCGGTGAACGGAACCCAGCCTGGGTGCCGTGTGGGTGCTGTGAACGGAACCCAGCCAGGGTACTCTGCAAGAGCACCAAATGCTGTGGACTGCCGAGCTCTTCAGTGACCTTCTCAGCCTCACGTCCTTGATAGATGTGTGGGTGCACAGACACCAGTGTTCCTATGGAGGTCAGAGGGCAGCTTGTAGGAGAGTTCTGCTTGCACCCTGTGAGTATTGGCGATGGAATTCCAATGGTCAGGCTTCATAGCTAGTGCCTATACCTGCTGAGCTGTCTCACCAGACCGGAAAATTCATTTCTAATAAATTATTGAGGCAAGGTCTCCTGTGTAGATGCCTGGCTGTCCCGACAGATCTGCCTGCCTCTGCCTCCCGAGTCCTGGGAGTGTAGGCACGTGCTGCCCTAGGCGGCTTCACTTTGTTATTTTTAATTATATGTGTCTGTGTGCCACGAGAGGTCAGAGGTGTCAGAGTCCTCCGGAGCCGCAGTTACGAGCATCTGTGAGTTGTCGTGTGGATGGTGGGAATCGAACCCAGGTCTTCTGAAAGAGCACTGAGCCATCTCTCCAGCCCTCCATCCATTCTCAGATCATTGCTATCTAGGGTAGAACGTGCGAAATTACATATAGGTGTTGGCTTCTGTGTTAGAATCCTAAATCCTCACGTGCTATAACTACACAATTCAGTATAGCATCCTTTGCTCATCTTAAGAGTTTGTTCATGTTCAGTTTAGTTATTTTTTAGGATAATGTAGGGGGCAGGTATTTAAGATAATGTGAAAGTTAAAAGTCAGAAGATAAATAAATCTGTAGTTTGTTTTGAATGTTGACAATATTTTTATTGATCAGTATGTTCTTGCTCTCCTTCCCCACCCCTCTCTGTCTCTTTCTCTCTCAGGTTTTGTTCCAACTCTGGGTGGCGCAGAGTTCAGAGTTCTTCAGGCGCTTAGCCCTGTTACTTTCTACAGCCAGTTCGCCTTCAGGGCCCTTGCTTACTGAGACGCTCTTGCCTCATCGCATTCTGTCTGATGTGACTCAGGGTCTACCTCATGCTCACGCTGCCTGCTTAGAAGAGCTGAAACGCAGCTATGAGTTCTTCCGGTACTTTGAAACTCAGCACCAGTCAGCACCCCAGCGCTTATCCAAAACTCAGCCCAAGTCCAGAGAACTGAGTAACGTCCACACAGCCGTGCGTAGCCTCCAGCTCCATCTGAAAGCATTACTGAACGAGTAAGTTTAGAAGCTGCGTGAGGAGACAGTAAAGGGATAAGTCATTTTCATTCCATCTGGCTGGTCCTTGTGTTCTCAATAGAAAGAAGAAACAGAATGGAGCATGAAGGATGGTTTGTGGGTACCAGGTACCAGGGAAATGATGATTTCTAAGCACTGTGGTTTAAGAGAATCATTTGTAGTTTTCCCTTTTCCTGGTTTCAGCAGAAAGCAGATGCTGCTTGTCTTTGAGAGATAAAGTGGAGAGGATTATCAAAAATGAGCATCTTTTTAACCTTCCTAAGGTAGGACTTTAAACTGGAACCTACAGTCTGAGAGAAGTATGTATGAGAGGCATCGCTGTATATAGCTAAAGGGTAATACTTTGCTACTTCCTAAATACATCACAACAGGTTTGGAAATATTTCTATAGCACAGAATACACTTTCTGTCCTCAGTAAAGGGCAGTGTCCACGTTTTTATATTTATTTATATTCTGCTTTGGTGTACTTTTATCAGTTGTAAATATTTTTCTCATCTATTTCTAAATGGAAATTTTCACATTTTGAAAATTGAGTACGGGACTGGAGAGATGGCTCAGAGGTTAAGAGCACTGGCTGCTCTTCAAGAGATTATGAGTTCAATTCCCAGCAACCACATGGTGGCTCACAACCATCTGTAATGAGATCTGGTGCCCTCTTCTGACCTGCAGACATACATGCAGGCAGAACACTGTATATATGATAAATAAATAAATCTCTTAAAAAAAAAATTGAATAAGTCAAGCCTAGTGGTGGATGCCTTTATTTCCAGCACTTGGGAGACAGAGGCAGGTAGATCTCTATGAGTTCAAGGCCAGCCTGGTCTACAGGGAGAGTTGCAGGACAGTCAGGGCTACACAGAGAAACCCTGTCAAAAGAAAAAAAGAAAGAAAAGAAAAAGAAAAAAGAAAGAAAGAATTGACTCAAGGTACATCTGAATGTAGTCGTTCCCACTGAATTTTTTTTTTCAATAAATGTGAATATTCATAGTGTAGGGCTGGAGCAAATGGGTGGGTAAGACGAGCAGGCAATCAGGAAGGTCCCTGGGATTCCTGACGGGATCAGTTGAGACGTGGAGGGGAAACGCAGAATCAGACGTGAGCTGAGAAAGTGGGCCAAAAGGCCCGAGTATTCCATCCACTCAGAAGCGTCCTGTAAGTGGGAAGAAGGAAGATAGGGTATACACAGAAAGAAGTGGAAGCTCCGAAACATGTTTGAGAAGATAAGTTATATCTCAGCTCAAGGCCTTGGGAGGCTGAGATGAGATTTACGAAAGATGGGATAGGAAAAGTGAAGAGGCTGAGATGGGAGTATCCAGTGACCTAGCTGTACTACCTAAGATGGCAGCATGGACAATGGCAGCCTTTCCACGTGTATTAGAAAGGATCTCTAGAGCACCAGAGCTGACAGAAGGAATACACACACACACACACACACACACACACACACACACACACACACACACACATACACACACATACACACACACATATATATGAATATATGTGTATATATTTTAGAGATCTATTATTATGCATGTCTGTTCACTTCTATGCAGGTGCCAACGGAGGCCAGAGGAGGGTGTTGGATACTCTGGGGCTGGAGTTACAAATGGTTATGCACTCCCCAAATGGATACAAGCTCCAGCATGCTAGAAGAGCACTAGTACTGTTGACCACTGAGCCATCTCTCCAGCCCCATGACTATAAGCTATAAGAGGGGTTTTCATCCATAACTCCAGTTCCAGGAGATCCAGCATCCTTCTCTTAATCGGCAGGCACCAGGCACACATGTGGTGCAAGATATCCATGCAGGCAAAATATTCATAAATGTAAGATGATTATATATATAATTTCAATATATGTTTATATATAATTTTTCTGGTTGCTAATTTCTTTTTTGTTTTTTGTTTGTTTGTTTGTTTTTGTTTTTTGAGACATGTAGTTTTGGTGCCTGTCCTGGATCTCGCTCTGTAGACCAGGCCAGCCTCGAACTCACAAAGATCTGCCTACCTCTGCCTCCCGAGTGCTGGGATTAAAGGTATGCACAACCCCTGCCCGGCTGCTAATTTCTTAAATGTAGGAGATGAGTTTAATTTATTCTTTTAGGTCAGGAACTGTCTAGTATGTATTTAAGAAGTACTTGTAGAATAAATTACATAATACTCCTTAGAAATTATCATTTGTTTCTGGGCAGGGAGGGTTGATTTAGGTTGCTAACAAGGGTACTCTATCACCAAGCTACATCTCCAGCCACACTAAATCATTTATAAGCATACAGTTCAGTAGTAGCAAAGACATACATTTGTCTACAGAACTTGTTTAATTTTTTTGAGACAGGGTTTCTCTGTGTAGCCTTGGCTGTCCTGGGACTCACTTTGTAGACCAGGCTGACCTTGATTCACAGAGATCCACCTGCCTCTGCCTCCTGAATGCTGGAATTAAAGGCATGTGCCACCACTGCCCAGCTTGAATTGCTTTAATTTTATAGGTTTAATTTCTTAAAATAATTCTCTTAAATGGTAGACAGAAGTTTCTGTCCCTCCAGCAGCTCCCAAATAAACACACTGAGGCCTATATTAATTACAAGTGCTTGGCCAATAGCTCAGGCTTATTACTAACTAGCTCTTAAATTTTAAGTTAACTCATGTTCCTTATTTACGCTCTGCCAAGTGGCAATACCTTTATTAATATTGGCACATTCATCTCCTGCTCCCTCTGTGCCTGGCTGGCAACTCCAGACTCCACCCTTCTTCCTCCCATCATTCTCAGTTTGGCTCTCCCACTTAACTTTATCCTGTTCAGCTATTGGCCAGGCAGCTTCTTTATTAACCAATGAGAGTAATACATATTCACAGTATACAGAAGGATTACTCCACCGCAATAAAATTTAAATCTCATATTTTAAAAACCTATTTCTGTTTTTCTATGTTGCACAGAGTAATAATTCTTGAAGATGAACTTGAAAAGCTTGTTTGTACTAAGGAAACACAAGAGCTGCTATCAGAGGCTTATCCAATACTAGAACAGAAACTTAAACTGCTTGAGCCCCACGTTCAGGCCAGCAACAGTTGCTGGGAAGAAGCCATTTCTCAAGTGGATAAATTGCTGCGGAGGAATACAGAGAAAAAAGGTACCTGTGGATTATTTTAAGCCTATGCTTGTCCAATATGCTCACTCCATTCTGCAGGAGTTCTCGTCTGTGGCCTGCCTGTTGACATGATTAAACTGGTTTCATAAAAGTTCTTAGTTGGATATATATAAAAACTGACAATGAATTTGAAGTCTTGACTCCTATTTTAATATAAAATACGTAATGATGTGAATGTTCAGGGCATCCTGTCTCCTTTTAAAAAACTGAAATGAAGGGAGAAATGTTGATAGTATTTTCTACTGTCAGAATTTCCAGAAACTCTTACAGGTCGAGTAATAAAAGAACTGGTTTAAGCCAGGTGTGTTGGCACACAACTTTAATCTCAGCACTTGGGAGGCAGAGGCAGGAGGATCTCTATGAGTACAAGGCCAGCCTGGTCTACACAGAGAGACCTTGTCTTAAACAAAAAGAAAGGCTTTAGCTGGATGTGGTTTCAAGCAAGGTCTCTTGTAGCCCAGGCTGTCCTTGCATTCACTATGTAGCTGAAGATGACTTTGAACTTCTGATCCTTCTGCTTCCACATCTGGTTTCATAGGAGTATGCTACTTCTTTTTAGTATAGACAATGAATAAAAATATAATTATACATATAATTATATATAAAATCATGTGATTAAATACCAAATTGAAATACAGTTAATTAAAGGTAAACTCAGCTTAGTGAGCACATGAAAGTATTTACTTGTGAAACTCATTTCCAATTCTGAGTTAAAATAATAGAAAATGGGAAAATAAAAATAATATAAGGTTGATCTTTGTTTCCTTTTATTATTTTTATTTGTTTTTTGAGACAGTGTTTCTCTGTAGTCATGCTGTCCTGGAACTCACTCTGTAGACCAGGCTAGCTCAAACTTAGAGATCCATCTGTCTCTGCCTCCCATGTGCTAAGATAAAAGATGTGTACCACCATGCCCAGTGGTCTTTGTTTTTTTAAGAGAAAGAATAATGATCTGTTTTAAAAACCTCCCAACACTATGAAGAAAATATGTGTCATCTAGCATGTGACAGATACTATGGCCATTTCCTCCAAGAGTTGAACTTAAAGCCAAGTGCTAAATATACTGCTAATACTGTTAACTTTGGTGTCTTTAATTTTCACAAATAAGACATTTTAACCAGAACAATTTGGGGGCCAGGCATGGTGGTACACATCAAAAATCTAATACTCATGAACCTAAGGTAGGAAGATCATTAGTTTAAGACTAACCTGGGCTCCTGGGAAGACCCTGCCTCAAAACCAGAAAATCGGGGAAAATAGGAAGTTGGACTGGTAAACTAACAAGGTGTCAGTGCCAAGGATGCCTTGGCATTAGGTGTCCGCTCATTTCTGATGACATTTCTCATCGTTGCTCTGCCCCTCCCCCCGTCAAAGGCAAACCCGAAGTGGCGTGTGAAAACCCACACTGTGCCGCAGCACCCTTGATGCGGCCCACTCTGCACATTGAGGACAGAGACCCCATCCCCGAGGAGCAGGTAAGGATGAGGAGCTGGCCTCCCCTAAAGACGAGCTCCACGTACAGTTTGCCTACTTGTATTTTAGGTGACATGGGTAACTGCCAGGTTAACTGTTGAATTTCTGCTTCTAATGGGGTTAAGATTACAGTGTAATGTGAATTGATATCAAAATATTAGCTCTTAGTGCCTTGAATTTGATTCATCGACTCGGAAGAGAATAGCCATTGACGGTGTTCAACTTTCTCATCTAGAACTCCTTTTAGTATCCACCATTAAGCTTTTTGAGTACTTTAATTTAGCAGTAGCTATGTTTGTTACCTTCCTTCCTCTCCACTGTCCCAGGAGGAAGTCCTCCACCATGCGTCACTGCAAGTCGTGAATACTGTTAGAGCCTGTCTGCTTGAAGGTCTTTGTCTCTGGTCCCTTTCCAGGAACTAGAAGCTTATGTGGATGACATAGACATCGAAAGTGAGTTCCGAAAGGATGATTTGTATCACTTGTCTCCAGAAGACAAAGAGAGGCAGAAACGTGAGCAGGAAGAATCCAGGAGGGTGCTGCAGGAGTTAAAATCTGTGCTGGGATTTAAAGCTTCAGAGGCAGAAAGGCAGAAATGGAAGCAACTTCTGTTTAGTGACCACGGTAAGCACCGACTTGAGAGTCCAGGTTATTCCAGTGACAGGAGCCTTTTCTTTTTGAACCATGAATGCTGTTTTAACTGTATAACTCTGGATCCACCAGGTAGTATAGTACTCTCATATAGAAACAAAATCAAGTTGATCAATAAAAGAATGCCATAGAATCACACTGAGACTATGAAGTCACGCTTTTTTATCAGCCATGTAGTTCTTGGATAGATTTCTTTCAGAGTGGTCATTAGGTTGAATATATTGAGATGGCCATGGTGGCATTGTAATCGCAGCAAGGAGGACCATGAGTTTGAGGCCAGCTGGGGCTACAAGCTTGTGCTACCTAGGTCACATAGCAAGACCTTTTGGGGGGACAGACAAAAGAAAGTAGTAAGTTTGAGATTCCAAGCTCTGTTCTCTGTTTAAAGTACTTCAGTAAAACTCACCATTAATAACTGTTTGATGCTGAAAAAATGCATCAGATTGAGGCCACTTGGCCACTTCATTTCAGTTACATAAGTAGATGGAAGCAGAGGACGTGTTCTTTGTGTGCTGACTCCATAGTCAAGTCTTGATGCTGTTGGCTGGCCTTCGACTCCTTCATGGTATCCTCGCCTTTTTCTTCAGTCATGCTTCATGGAAGCAAAAGGAATGAAGAGAAACTTGATATTGGCAATGTCAACTTAGTTCATTCTCGGTTGCATGTAGACTTATAAGATAGAGCGGGCCTTCCATCCACTTTAGAGTATCTTCATGGACCTCAACTCCAGTTGCCTGCCTTCCCCTTCTCACTACAAGTATAGAGGTCATCTAGTCTTGAGAGCTCCTTGGGGTTCTCCTGTCTTCTCCTATGAACCCTCACCTTTCTCTCTAACTCAATAGATACGTGTTGGTTTCATCTTTCTTTGCTGTTTCATTGGCTCCCTCTAGAACCCAGATTTCCCACTAGATTATGCTTGTCCATTAGACTAGCCCCTTAGCTGACCTCCATTTCGGTACCTTTTCCCGTAAGCTATCTTGTAACATATTCCAGACTTTGTTCAAACTCAAACACCTCATTGATTCTGTTTTAAAACTACAATGGTCTACCTTTCTTATTATATTAGCCTTTCCAGCATAAGACTCTATCATGTCCACTTGTATTCCCGGTATTTCTAACAAAGGTATCTTCCTCAACTTACATTCACCTAATTAGATTAGTCCCACAGACTTGTTGTTTATATTCATGAAGAAAATGTATGCTGGTCTCTGACCAAGAACCTGGTCTTCTCTGTCAAGCTGTCCTCTCTACCAGTGTTCCTTCTGTGACTCCTCAACTGCCCCAGCTCTCCTGAGAGACATGTAGTTGGGATGTAGAGGAAGGCTTGAGCCACAGAGCAGAGATATGGTGGCCTTCCTAGAAGCAGCATCAGAGTTCTCTCGTCAGCTGGTTCATGAATTAGAAATCGGTGGTCTTATTTTTTTAGACATGAACAGTTTGTTTTCCTGGGTTTTAGGCTCTAAATTTGTCCTTTTTTCTATCTTTTACTCTCTAGCAGTATTCACTCAGCAAATTCTGACTCACCAAGTAGTCATCTCGAGTACCTTTCAGACACCTGACACTGTTTACTGCTGTGTGTAGCACATAGATCAAGAGACAAAAGGAATCTACTCCCCTAGAGACTTATATTCTAGCAGTCATCAGCTAACGCCTCCCTAGCACACTCTCTGCCTCCCCCGTTCAGGTAGCAGTGATCCTGACTGGTAACGTGGTGTACTTGGGAAGACCCAGCAGATTTATGAACAAGAGTGTGCAGAAATGCTGAGAATAGCATTATCTCTAAGCTCGTATCTTTCATTATTGTGCAGTGTTTTTCTTAGTATTATTAAGCTGCAAGATTACCTATTGATTGACACTGTGGACAAATGAGAGAAGTGTGTCTCATTTTCAGGAACATGCTTTTGATCCCAACTGGCCTTTGGAAAGGCAGTAATGCTGTAGAGTTTGTGAAAATAAGTAAAGGTCTGCTGATGCCAGAACGATGCTTTCCCTTGACAATGTCCAGTACGTCTTCCAGAGTTGTTTTCATCTCTGCCTACAGGGGTAAAGTCCGAGTGGAATTAGAGAGGGCAAGTCTACACTGGAACCTGCGGTGGCCATGTGTCTGTTGCTGCTGCTGCTTCCCTAGTGGAGTTACTGCAGCCTAGGGATGTTTCTTGGCAACGGACACGTTTTACACAAACGCTTTTTAAATATCCGCCAGACCTTCAGGATGCGCTTTTTTCCTTCCGCCATGCTTCCTAATAGATTGTATTGTACTAACCCTCGTGCTGGGAGGAGAGACTGCCTAGCAAGCAACCCACTGCCTACTAACACCAAGAGGGGCTAACTAAAACGTCATTGTTCTTACAAGGACGACTGTTACCCTATGGATCTAGATGATGTTTATGGATTATACTTTGTTTGGTAGTTGATCTTGAATCAGATTTTATTTCGTGTGTGTTCGCTGTAGCACAACAAAATGTAGAATACTTTATTTCCATGCAGGTTCTTGTAAGGTGGCTGACAAGTAAGTGGAATTGTATGTTACATTTCCCCACGCTGTTTTACCTTGTAAATATATATGTGATGAAGATGCTGTTATCTGGGTCACATCGGGCTTTTTACCTTGTGGTGAAAGCACACTGTGTATTCCTTTAATGACAGTAGTCCCCAGGTTTAGTGTACATCAGAACCAAGTGGGCGGCCTGTAAACATGGCCGCCCCGGCCCCAGTGTCCAGACTCCAGGAGCTGTTCCTACCAGCTCCCTAGGGATGGGTGGTCTTGCTGCCTCAAGGACCTGCTTTGAGAACCACTGCCTCTGAACGTGAGACTCCTCAGCAGGTCCCTGTCTCAGTTTATTTCCTAGGTATTTTATGTCATAGCATCCCCCATTTTACAGAGTCCCATTTATTTTCCTAGAAAGTTTTATTGAGCTTTTATTTATTTGTTATTCCTTTTTAAAAAGCTACCGGGAGTTTGAAGTCATTGGGTCCTTAGTTATTTTTGTTTTTTTCTTTTCTTTTCCTCTTTTCGTTCTTTGAAGCTGTGTTGAAATCCTTGTCTCCTGTAGACCCAATGGGATCTGTAAGTAATTCAGAAACACCCATGAACTCAGATACAGGAGCAGTCGGTAGGCATGGTCCTGAAGAGGAAACTAGTGAGCCCTCCACAAGTGACCCTGAAAGGGGTAGGACTGAGTTTGTGTGTGAGAGCCCTCCTCCAGAGGGTGGCAATAAAGACCCTTCTGAAACCGAAGCCTTCCTCCAAGGAGCCGAAGAAAGAATGCTCTACCAGTGTGAGAGTGAGGCTGAGTCCCCTCAAGCTGCCACCGCTGCCACCGCCGGGGCCGCCACCCCTCCAACTCCCAGAGACTCACTCCAGCTCTCCATCAAGCAGAGGCTGGCCCGGCTGCAGCTGGCCCCAGAATTCACCTTCAGTGCTGGCCTGGCCGCAGAAGTGGCTGCCAGGTCCCTCTCGTTCACCTCCATGCGGGAACAGACTTTTGGCGATGAGGAGGAGGAGGAACCAGTAGCTGAAGGAAGTGAGAATGAGGTGGAGGAGAAGTAAAAGTCACGATGAAGGATTTTTGGTTGGTCCTTTCATAAAGATGTTTCAGCTTCAAGACTGGAAAGGAAATGAGTGTGTGTTTACTCTATAGAAAGCTAAGGCGGGTTTACAGGGCGAGGACTCATTGGAAAACCTGACCTGAAATCAGTAGAGACCTGGCTAGACAGGTCTTTTAGGAGTAGGAGAGGGAGGTAAGGGCATTTTGGAAGAAACTGCTGTTTCATTTATGGCACAGCTGATAATCTTGGCAATTCTTTAAGTACTTTTAATAAGAAATGAATTTATCATTTTTTGTTTGCCAAAACTTGCTGCCATAAGGTAACTGGGATGGTCTCCTGCAGAGCATAAACATTTAGAATGAGCTCTTTCTATTGTCTTTGCAGTGTGTAACTGCAGCGATCATGTTAATATGTTGTTCGTATTTTATTTTGTTTATACCACTCCTAAAACAAAGATACAGGTTCTGAATAAAAATATTTAATTACTACAATTGATGTGTGCTGGGGTTTGGAACGCCAAAATAGTTTCAAAGGTATTTGGGCTGTGGCACATTTCATGTCTTCTTATTTTCATATGTGTGTTCGTCTTAAGGTGTCATGCAGTCTTCGAAAGGAAAACACTGTGCCATTTTAAGAAACACCCTTCTAGGGTCTATTTGTTGTTTGTTTGTTTGTCCGCTCCTGTTGCAGCTCAAAGAGATGATGTCAGGATGGCATGACTGCATCCAAGGCCCCATCTCCAACCCCACAGAAAGTTCTGTGGGTTTACGTGGAGACAACTGTGCCTCTGCTTAAGTCGTCCCAGTGCTGTCTTCCGGTCTGGCCTGTCTTACTAAGACGCGGGGACACGTCAGCTCTCCTGGAAAGTATCCTCGTCCTTTGCATTCCACTGTGACTCCGTCTTGCAGAGATGCTTTCCACAGACCAGTCTCGTCTGCTTTGTCCTTTGATTGTGTTTTCAGTGGTGTTTTCTGGAATGTTCTCTTTCTGAAACCTGTTGTTACTGTGCACTTACGCAGTTCATAGACATTATTTGGGAGGAATATAAGAAAAAAAACTCAATTTATGCTGCTGTTCTAGAAGGAAAGGATGTGAATTCCAGTAACTTACTCTTTTTTTTTTTTTTAAAGATTTATTTATTATGTACACAGAAGAGGGCTCCAGATCTCATTACAGATGGTTGTGAGTCACCATGTGGATCCTGGGAATTGAACTCAGGACCTCTGGAAGAGCAGTCAGTGCTCTTAACCTCTGAGCCATCTCTCCAGCCCCATAACTTACTCTTTTTAGTAAGGAAATTTACTTATACTCAAGTTTTGTTGTTGTTGTTAGTTTACTGAATATTTTTTATCCTGAGGAAAACCTTCGACTTTATGTGACTAGACTTTGGACTGTTAGTGATTTTGCATTTTTCTGATACTTTATAGTGTTAACATGTCAGGAGCAGGATCTTAAGCTGGACATGGAAATAGCTACATTTCAAGAAAAAGAGGACCTCCTGTGTTGTAACTGACTTCTGGATTCCTGAATGGCACAGTTTTACTTTCTAACCTAAGTTGCTGTTTCCAACTCCATTTTTCCCAGATATACAAGTTATTAGGGAAATTTTATTAAAAGTTCTTTTAATTTATAACATAGGAAAAATTGGAGTTCAATCATTTTAATTCTTTTAGTCTATTTTGATTCAATCACACCAATTTAACCAAAATCTGTTCATACTATTTTATCAGCTTTATGCTCTCTGATTCTGAAGTAGGAAGTTTAAGTTCAGAATTCCCAGCCCTCAAGTCTAACCTGCTCTGTTCACAAGCTCCTGTTTAGTTCCATGAAAACTGCTTCTGAAGTCATGATTAAGGGCATTGTGACTTCAAATGATGGTCTTTTTAGGTAATAGTTTTCGTATTTCTTCCATCTTTTAAAACCTTTCCAACATAAAGCTCTGTTTTCTTTGTGAAATTTTCTTGAATAACTTTCTCTTAAAATATTCTAAGTCGATGTTCCTTGGTTGTTTTAGTGGGTACCTGAATCATAATGAAGTAGAAATCTTATTTTTTTTAATGCAGACTTAAGCCATGCTCTCTGTAATTCTTGGATGTTTTGGTACAAGACCGAGGTACTGTTAATGCCCAATAAAGTCTAAGATCCCCTGCTTAGCATCTGTACTTCTTGCCACGAGTACATTTTGTGTGTGGACAGGCGGACGCAATATAAGCAGACGCCCTTCCATGAGCTTTCCTAAGCTACCTCACTTTTTCTTGACTGGGTTTAATACCTGTCATTCAATAAACGGAAGAACCTTCTGGGAAAAACATTTTTGGCAGAAAACTTGTCATCCTATTTTCCAAATTTTACAGAATGATTAAACTTGTTGGGACTAGTATTCTGACAGCCTCTAGTATAGACATTGCCAAAGTTTGTTTTACCAGAGCTAATCTAGAACTCGGAGGGGAAATGCATGCTGTTGGGGTGAAGACAGAAGTTTTACCCTTTGTGTGTCTACAGATGGGAACGTCGGGACGAGAAGTAGGGTCACTGCCATGCCTCACAGCCTTTTTCTCTGCTTCAGTAAGGCCTTCCCTGGTGTCTGGCAGATCTGGGGCCAGACTGACCTTTCCTTTGCAAAACTCTGCTTGTTTTATTAATCTTTTGCAAGCCATGTATGTTATCTAACTTTATACATAAAGTCTTTGTTAAAACCAATTGTAGTCACAGCATCTGAATCTGTTTCCTTAGAAGCTGATGATAAGCAAGTCAGGAAAAAGACACACATTTAAGACAAATTGATATAGATTTCAGAGCATGCTCATGACTCATGCCAGCACTCCAGATGCACAGTCAGGAAGATCACTGCATACACAGTGAGAACCTGTATCAAGGGAGAAAAAAGAAAGAGAAAGAGAGCAGGTGCCAGGCTTTACTGCAGAAAGCAGCTGGAGTCTTAATCCCAGGCCTTTCATTCATAGGATGTGAGTTTGAATCCCAGGCCTTTCATTCATAAGATGTGAGTTTGAATCCCAGGCCTTTCATTCATAGGATGTGAGTTTGAATCCCAGACCTTTCATTCATAGGATGTGAGTTTGAATCCCAGGCCTTTCATTCATAGGATGTGGGTTTAAATCCCAGGCCTTTCCTTCATAGGATGTGAGTTTGAATCCCAGGCCTTTCATTCATAGAATGTGAGTTTGAATCCCAGGCCTTTCATTCATATGATGTGAATAATGCTAGCCTCATTATATTGGGAGAGTTTTCTCAGGAAAACTCAAATTATCTGAATATTTCTGATTTCTTAGAAATTTAAAAAGAAATGATGCTTGTGAGGCTGGTTATAAATGTATAGCTCAGTTTATTAAAATAGATAATAATACCCTTATTCATATAAGAGACACAGTGCTTGAATGTTAAGCATAGGAAAAATCAACTTCTGATACATTTAAAAACGGAGTGTTGATTAGAAGTGACCCTGGGTTTCATTTTCACTGTGCTGTTTTCTCCCCATGTCAAACATGACTCATGTTTCATGTTGCTAAATGAATAGGAATAATACGGGGGAGGGGGGGTCACTGATTGGTTTATTGCAGTATATTGTGTTTATACCCAAATAGAACAGAGATGTAAGAACCAAATCCTGGAGCCCAAGTGTCACACAGCTAAGCCTGGTTGAACTAAAGTGAGGACGGCGCTTGGACAACAACCAGGCCGAGCATAAGGATTGAGTCTCTTCTGTTTATGGGGACATGTCTGGGCACTTTATGCTTAGATTATAAAAACAAAGGAGGTAAGAGACAGCGGAATGTCTGGGGCAGTGACCATTCGGTGTCCTCCTCAGCAGGTGACTAGCTTGAGTCCCTTCATCTTTCAGGAAGTGGAAGCAGATTCACTTAATCCCTGAGTTTAACTGTCTACTAATGGACTTACTTTGTACTTCTCTCCCTGAATGCTAGCATGTACAGGAAATGTCTTTTCTTTGATAAAACAGTTCCCCCGGTGGAGAATAAACAAACCCACTTCAGGGACAACCGGACATAGAAAGTCAAGCCCCCCCTTTGCTGCCTGATTGCCTATTGCTTGCTTTTTGAGCTGTGTCTGTTCTTTTCACAGTTGCCCTCTCTTCCCTTCTAATCAGCTGTCGCTCTTGCTGCTGTGTTGTGTTGCCTGCCTTCCGCAGTAGGCCCCTAACTTGCTGCTCACAATCTGCTGTGGACTGAGAAACCAGATTGCCCCGCTTGCTAGGACTGTGTCTAAAGTAAGAGTGAGTAGACTGGAAAGGCGGAGGAGGGCTGTTCTGTCGGTCACCTGCATGGACTGTGGCATGCCTGTTCGGCCGCTTCGCATCCTTGTGTGTGCATTTCATGTCTTCCTAAAAACTTGCTAAAAAGTACTCGGTTGAAAATACAAGTGCCCTATATTTGAAATATTAATGTGGTGTTTGTGTGCTGATGTTTCTAGGACCCCTCACTAATGAATTCAACTGTCAAAGAAAAGTTGACTGCCATCCTTGTATGTCGCTGTGTGTGTTTCAGAAAAATGTTGGTCTTTGTTTTTGTGGATTAGTCTGCATTCAGTACACAGGTTTAAAGTTGATGTCATGATTGTGAATCCTGCACAGTAGTTACGAAACATGACTCATTTAGTAAGAACTGGCTCACTTGGCAGGGAATGAATCATTCAGTCAACCCAGTTCTCCTCTAACAACCTATGAAATCTACCTTAATCTTTTCTCTATTAAAATGAGCATCACCAGGCTGGGGAGAGGGCTCCTCGGGGGGGAAAGTGCTTGCTGCAGAAGCACGAGGTTGAGAACCTTCTTCAGATTCCCAGCACCCACATAAAACAGTGGAGTATAATGGGGTACATTGGTAACCCCAGCCCTGGGGGTTGGAGTCAGGAAAAGCCCTGGAACTCTGGCCTGCCACTCTGGCCTAATCAGTAGGAGTAGCCTAAGGAAATACTGAATATCGACCTCTGGCTTAAAACACACACACACACATACACACACACACACACTTGTATACATGTACACACAAACATGTATACACAAATACACAAAATTATTTTTATTATTATCATTATCATTATTGGTTTTTTTTTTTAAGATTTATTTACTTATTGTGTATACAGTGTTCTGTTTGCATGTGTCCCTGCAGGCCAGAAGAGGGCGCCAGATCTCATTACAGATGGTTGGGAGCCACCATGTGGTTGCTGGGAATTGAACTCAGGACCTCTGGAAGAACAGCCAGTATTCTTAACCTCTGAGCCATCTCTCCAGCCCCATTATTGGTTTTTGAGACAGGGTCTCTCTATGTAGCCTTGGCTGTCCCGGAACTTACTACATGGACAAGGCTGGCCTTGAGAGCTGCCAGTCTCTGCCTACCAAGTGCTAGGATTAAAGACATGCACTACCACACCCAGCTCAGAACGAGCATTATTAACATTGGCCCTGGTCCACTAAAGGCTGAGAACTGGCCCTCTTTTGAGCTCCGTTCGGCCGGGCTTTAGTTATTTGATAGTTATTCCCATTCCTACATTTATATGTCTGCTTAAGCGAGCTGGAATTTGCCGCCCTTCTCCACATCCACATGTGTCTTCCAATCTGCAGATGGATGCAGACTGAGAAGACCTCCCGCCTGAGCTCACTGACTTTCTGTAGCATTTCCTAGGACCTATTAGATTGCAGTCTTTGCTCATGTAGAATTACTGGGTTAAATGCCTGCTCTCAAATAAGAATTGTTACTATACAGAAATAACCTTTTTTTTTTTTTTCAACATTTTGCCTTCTCTAAAGTTGGTTCTGTATTGTAATTCTTCTGCAGTAATTAAAACCAGGCCATCGGAGTTAGCTTTGTCACTTATATTTTCTGTTTGAATTGGATACCACATGCTGTTAATAAATTTCTTTGGCTTTTTTTTTTTTTTTAAGAGAAATGCATCTTCATTTCCAAAACGAAGTACATTAAGCCTGGAAAGCAAGAAAACATTAATTATTGAAGATATCTGAAAAGTAATGGGCTTGTAGACTCTAGGCCACAAAGACTTTATTCCTTCATCCGCTAGGTTTTTAACCAGCCCCGTCACTTTCTTTCATTCAGCTGAGGAAGAATATATAAAAGCTTCTTTTATATATGATTTATCAGTATTGGAGCTAAGGTCAATAACCGAGTGACAGAATTTCCACCGTCATTCAGTAGCAGACATGCCTAAATTAGCCTTTAATATATAAAATAAGCAAGATGAGTTTCCTCTCTCAAGTGAAAAAAAAAATAACATTTTCAAGTAAAATTAGACTCCATCTAGAAGCAGCTCTCCTAGTATCCACTTCATTGCACCATTTATGTGCTGTGGGACTCAGGTTTTCATCATGTGCAGTGTGAGTGGTATGTCAGGCTATTTTATAATCAGGCTTCATGCATCGGGCCTCCGGTTATCCATCTTTAAGGAAGGGAATTACGATACAGTAATTGTAAAAAGAATGGTCCAAACCAGTTTCTTGTGTCGACACCACTGTAGAAGAGAGTGCTGCCCGACTTCTCTTTGACTAAACTGTTAGAGGAGCATGGTTCTACCCAGTGCAGTTGCTGTGAACCAAAGAGAAGGAATTCATGTCAGGGCTCACATAGGCAAAAGGTAGCAGAATCAAGAATCGACTTTATACTTAGGTTTAAGTGTGTGATAAAATCCAGGTGTGGTGGCGTATGCCTTTAATCCCAGCACTCCAGAGACAGAGGCAGGTGGATCTCTGATTTCGAGACCAGCCTGGTTTACGTAGTGAGTTCCAGGCCAGCCAAGATTATATAGTAATAATTGTGTGATAGATTAGAATACACACGGTATCTTTAAAATGCAGTACATTGGTATCCACCCGAGTCTGTCAGCAGGGACATTAGTTTTATCCCTGTGTACTGAAAGGCACTTAGCCCATGTGTGGCTGAAGTAGAAATGGTGTTTAGGGTGTGTATACTTCTGGGGTGTGCAAGCTTCAAAACGGGACTGTCTGTAGATGTGGTACTAGACAGATGTATTTATTCTTACTTATTTCCTAAGAGTTTCTTAAAGTAGATAATGTTACTGTTTTAGGCTTTAAGACTTGTCAGTTTTATAACATTTCCTAAAGATTGACTACATACAAATGAGTTTATTGTTGAATATTTCTTCTGAAACAGAAGTATGGCATCTGTAAGTTCACTCCTTCATAAGGACCTAAACAATGTCTCAGCCCTCTTCTCCTTCCAAGTTAGATGACGAAATTGACTGTGTCTCTAAGTCCACGTATGTTCTGCCCTTCTCCCTCCCAGTCTGTACCTTCTGTTTAATACTTCGACTTAAACAGTGCTTACTAAGCACAGTACTAGCATGTGACCATGTATGGAAGGCTCCAAGAACGTCACTCCTGTCCCTGAGAGGTTGGTGTGTGGCCCCGAGACAGCCCTGGAGGCCCACATGGGTGAGAGGCCCAGAAGCCCATTCAAGCCGAAAGCACCCCCAAGGAGTTTGGTTCTGTTTGGGTTTGTTCTAGGTATGGTCCCAGGGATCCCAGATCAAACCAGGCCCCTGGGCCTATCCTAGAACCAACCTAAGCCCGCGCATCATTCCTGGACCATCCAGAGTGTGAAGACTGAAGATAACTGAGGCTGACCACACACCCTGTGCTCACCAAGATTCACTTTTTATATATGTATCCATTGTTTAGCAAGCAGTGGCTGGTGTATCTATCTGAAATCAAAGTGACAACATCTGATAACAACATAAGGTCCCCCCATTAATCAATACTACAGTAGCTTCCCATAATAGAAAGTCTATGTGCTTGTTATTGATTGCCAGTGAGGAGAACTGTTCTTGTGATTTTTGTCATCAGATAAAATAGATTAAAATGTCTATTTTAAGATGCAGCAACTTAGCCACATAACAGCCTTCTTCCCAAATGAATGAATTTTGTTTTCTTAACTATCAGTGACGCTGTATCAGTCACCTTCAACTGTGTGGTTGAGTCACTTTCTGAAAGGTACCTGTCTTCATCTTTTGGCATCTGATGCCAAGTGATTTTAAATTCTTGTTTCAGAGACTAGTATATTTTCCCTGTCACTGAGTTTGCTGCACATCAGAGCTCACTTGAAAAGTTTTCTGTGGTTCCTGAGAGCAAGGTAGGCCGGTACAGTAGAAGTGGGTGAAGCCCTCAGATTTACATCAGAATATTTTAAGAACTTCATTTTTCTTCCTTGCTGCTCTGGATTTTTAAACCATTCTGATCTAGTAAATGTATTATATGGACTCATATCGTAGCAGGTCTTGCTACAGTCAACTGCCTATTTGTTTGTTTTGATTTGGAAGACAGGAATTCTGAAAGGGCATGAAGGAAAACCCAAACTCGAAGATCGTGGTAAGCATTCAAAATGTATGCTTTTGATATTTAGTGTAGACTAGTAAGCTCTCCATCTACAAGGAACTTGAAAGTGTGCTGTTCTACCGATCTGTACCACGTCAGCAAGTTTAGGTCGCCGGGTCACTGTTTAAAATGGGCTGGTACCTGTTGAGGCTCATCTGAATAACTCAACTGCGGCATTGGTACTGCACCCTATCCATACCGCGGATTGTTTTTTATTCCAAAGATTCAATTTTGTGCTTCTCTCTCAGTGTTCTCTTCCTTGTAGAGTTTTCCTTATGGATGACTTAGCTAGCTGTATTTCGTGGCATTGCCTAAAATATATATGAACGTTGTTATGTTGATGTACAGTATGTTTTGTCAGGATTTGCTCTAGTTTACACCATTGATTATGGACACTGAAATGGGAAAGTATGGACTGTTTAATGAGCGTGTGTGTGTGTGTGTGTGTGTGTGTGTGTGTGTGTGTGTGTGTGTGTGTGTGAAGTCAGGGTCTTATATCCTAGGCTAACTTTGAACTTTCTATATAGCTAAGGTCAGCCTTAAACTGCTAATTTGCCTGCTTTTACCGCCCGGGTTCTGGTATTGTAAGTATGTACCACCAAACCTGGCTCTGTTTTCTTGTTGTTGTTTGTTTTGTTTTGTTCTTCCAGACATTTTGTAACACTGACTGGCCTAGAACTTGGTGTGTACACCAGGCTGATCTTGAACTTCTTGCAATCCTCCTGCCTCCACCTCTGGAGTGCTGAGATTACAGGTGTGTGCCACCATTCTTGGCAAGGTTTGGCTCTTCAGTAAGTTGTTGGATGCGTCTCCTCAGTCGTAGAGCACTGGCTGGCCATCTGCAAGGCTCGTCCTGTCTCAGACACCCTCCAACCCCCCAAACAGCCTTTGGAAACATTCTTTCAGATACTTTTTAGTTTCATTTTATGGTTGTTTATGCTTTATATATTAGAACTTGGAACTCTACATTCCCTACCCTAACTGAAGAGTTAAGGTTATAAAATCTTGGTGTGTGTGTGGGGGGGGGGAGCTTTTTTTATTAGGATTAAACACCAAAAATTTTACCATTGCCATTTTTATGTTCAATTCAGGAAATGTTATGCCTCTAATGAAGCATTTCTAGAATTTTTCATTGTACAAATCATAGACTCCTCTATCACTTAGATAAGAGTTCCCCTTCCTCCCCTCCTTCTCATAGCCCTTTGGCAGGCACCTTTCTGTTTCCTGTTATGACCTCAGTTCATCCCATTTAGCGTGTGACTGAATTTCCTTGTTTAGGGCTGAATAATCTACACCTCTACTACACGTTGCTGGTCATTCATCTACTGGTGGCCATTGACTGCTTCCCCTTCTTGGTTATTAAAATAATGATGCTGTGGATACATTCAGATGCCTCCTGTTCAACTTGGTACGTTCTTAGTCACTTTCTGTTTTACCACATCAAATGGCTGTCAACTGTTTTTAAAAGCTTTTAGAATTGTAGGCTTGCAAATGCTGTATAACTGTTCTCAGCTTAAAACAGAGCTAATAAAATCTGAACTGTCTTGTATATTTTTGTGTGTCTCTTTTTGACCCTGCTGTTTGCATCCTGGACAAACGACTAGAAGGAAGAAGTCCTTTCTCTCTTCCTCCTGTCACTGCTTCTCTTTTTTTATAGTATTTCCCAGCAATTGATGCAAGAATAAAAAAGATCGTATTGCCGGGGCAATCCTTTGAGTCATTAACCTAACTTTTGCTTGTTAAATATCTGGTGATAATTTACCAGAGAGAAAACGGTTGCTTAATTTTAGATTATCCAGGTTTTTGTTGTTGTTACAGTTTTTTGTTTGCTCCGGGTATTTTTGTTTGTTTCATTGGTTGGTTGTTTTTGTTTGTTTGTTTTGTTTTGGAGACACTGTTTGAATCTGTAACCCAGTTCTGGCATCAGAGTCCCAGCCATCCTCAGCCTTCTTCTAACTGCTAGGATTACAGGTGTGGACCACCACTGTGCCTGGCTTGAGTTTAAATTTTCCGTTTCCATCATTCCCTCTGGATACAGCAGGTTCTGTCTGTTACCCTCCTGACAGAAAAGATGTGCCAGCATCAAGGAGGGAGTTAGTATCCAGTGATTCAGACCTTGTCTTGGGATATTCCCAGGAGCCTCAGAATAGTCCTGTAAATAAGATGCTGGATAAAGAGAAAGTAGTCTTTCTTGAAACTTTTAAAAATATAAACTACCTTTCTCCAGGAAATGTTTGATCAAGGAGAAAAAGTACCACAAAAAGCAGGTTTTGAAACATGCCCTTGTCTGAGATTTGCTGGTTAAAAGTGTGAATTGAAAGCGGGTGGTGGTGGCACACACCTTTAGTCCCAGCACTCGGAAAGCAGAGGCGGTTGGATCTCTAAGTTGGATGCCAGCCTGGTCTACAGAGACGTTCCAGGACAGCCAGGGCTACACAGAGAGACCCTGTCTTGAAAAACAAGAAAACAAACAAACTATATATATCTGGGGCTGGAGACATGGCTCAGTGGTTAAGAGCACTGACTGATCCAGAGGATCCAACTTTGGTTCCCAGCACCTACATGGCAGCTCACAATCTTCTATAACCCCATTCCAGGGGGATCTGGTGCCCTCTTCCATCTTCAGGAATGTGCATGGTACACAGACATATATACAGGTAAAACATCCATACACATAAAATAATAGAAGAGTTGCTTTAAGAAAGTATGAGATGACATGGGACGTGTGTAGTTACCGTATCCTGAAGTCGCTGGGGAGGAAATAGCCCTTGTGATAATCCTTTCTCGTCTTCACAATTTGCTTTTGAAGGTCATTAGCTGACGTGCTGTACCCATTGAAGATAAAGTTGGCAAAGAGTAACTTTCCTCGAATGTACATCTGGAAAAAGTTAATAAAACGTTTTCAGAATGTAATCTTAAGAATGGTCCTGTTGATTTGAAAGGAAACACTTCAACCTAAAAGCATTCATGTTTATACATGTAAAACAGCATGTATATTCCTAGAGTCTGAGCGTGAGGTATAAAGCTAGGAAGACAGGCCTATTAGCTGTGTCAGACATTCAAAGTGGTCAACCAAAATGCTAATTAAGTTCAAGATGCCAGCATGTGTTCCTAAGCATTATACTGTGTTCTGTTTTCTTCTACAGCTAACCACTAAGACAATACAGAGCCTTGGCGTTTGGAAGTCAGTAGATTCAATTACAAACAAAACAAGAACTCTGCAAATTGTGTGACCCATATTGAGTCACTCATCTTTAAGAAAAAGGCACATTGATTATGATTTGGGAATTAAACTAGACCTCTAAAAACATCTTCCATTCCAAACATTGTTTACCTGGTTTTTATGGAGATGTGTCTGTTTATGGGGTTTTTATGGGTGTTTTATGTGCACCATGTATGTACAGGAGGCTGCAAAGCTCCAAGAGGGTGTTAGATACCCTGGGACTGGAGTTATAAGCAGTTTTGAGCCTCCATGTAGGTACTGGGAACTGAATCTGCGTCCTCTTCAAGAGCCTTAAATGCTCCTCACCACTGAGCGTGTCTCCAGCCCTGTTTCTCTAACTAGTAATGAAGAGGTCCAGCTCTTCAGTATCAAGCCACGCTTGTCATTCCACACTAAGGTGTAAGAGACTCTTAAATCTTGAGACACAGCAAATGATTTGAGATTTTCTTTTTCAGCTATTAGAGATGGGGAGGAGGGGATTCCTTTTACGAGTGGTAAGAGAAGAAAATAATTAAAACTTTAAAAGTTTGTTATAGCACAGAGTTTAATAAAAATAAAGCATGCCTCATGTCTTCAAATCCTAAGAGACTGAAAGTCTTAGAAGTGTGTAAATTCCACAGCTCCACATTATTCCTTTCCCTTTAGATTATATGATCTTTTCATCATGAAGAGGTGTTTTAACACAAGGTTTCCTCTATGGAAATAGAATTTTCTGGCCCATCATTTCTGCAACAAAAGAACCTATTTGCTGGGTCCATCTACATGGCTAGTAAGGGATGAAATGACGTTCTGTGTGGTTCATGGGCCTGAAATACTTTGTCTTTAGCCTTATTCTTTAACACTCATACCTGCCTATTAACCATGAAGCATGTATATTGCTTGAACTTAGAAGGTGAAACTATACATATTACATTATTATTATTATTAATTATTATTATTTTGGTTTGATTTGTTTTTTCGAGACAGGGTTTCTCTGTGTAGCTTTGTGTCTTTCCTGGAACTCACACTGTAGCCCAGGCTGACCTTGAACTCACAGAGATCCACCTGCCTCTGCTTCCCGAGTGCTGGGATTAAAGGCGTGTGCCGCCACCGCCACCACCACCACCACCACCACCACCACCACCACCACCACCACTCGGCATTATAACCAATAGCAACGTTATAATGAAGGACACATATGTGAATATTTTATAAGATCTAAAACACCAAACACTGTTTCTCAATAGTGACAGGGATAATGTTTAGCCAGCACTACCCCCCCCCCTTTTGAACCTAAAATGCTATATAAAGAAGGGAAAGTGTAGCTCTGTGAGTTCAAGGCCAGCCTGGTCTACAGAGAGAGCTCAATGACAGCCATACACAGTGAGACCCTGTCTGGAAGGGGAAAAAAGGGGGTGGGGTGTAATTTCTAAAAAGTGATGAACTGGCAACGCTTCGTCCTGATTTGGTTTGGGCCTTGGGTCTTCCATTCTATTTGGAAGAAAGCTTCCCATGTGTTAAGCTGCTGCCTAGAGCCTAGTGATAAAGAAAGGCACAACAGCGCTGCAGGGTCTGGTTCCGGCAAAGACGACTGTCCCGGTACCATGAGTCTCCACATGGCCCCTGCCTAGCCTAGAACTTGACCGCAAGCCTCTGCCTCTGCCTCCCTAGTGCTGGGATTACAGGTGTGCACCGGCAGGCTTGGCCCCACACTCTTATCTTCATGGTGTGGTTAGGGAATTGCAGCTAGCTTCAAAACCCAGAATATGGGTTGAGGGTGTGGTTTAATACTAGAATATGCACTTGACATGTCTGAGGATGTGGGTTCAGTCCCCAGCACTAAAACAAGATACCTGAGATGATTCAGTAACATTTTAATAATCAAGAAGCCCTCATACTATTTTCACTGTGGGTCTCAGTTTTTGAAAGATTTACTACCCCGGAGATCTATACCATAAGCTATAATTTATATTTGTGCACTTTTATTCATTATGTATAGTTTTTCTGCCTGCGTGTGCACTTGCAGGCCAGAAGAGGGCATCAAATCTCATTATGTGTGGTTGTGAGCCACCACGATGTGGTTGCTGGGACTTGAACTCAGGACCTTTGGAAGAGCAGTCAGTGCTCTTAACCGCTGAGCCATCTCTCCAGCAATTTGTGCACTTTTAAATTAACAAAGTCATAATGACTGCTGCACACCAGACACTGTTCTTGATGCTGAAGATGAATCTACAAAGTTTCTCCTGCTGAGTACTACCTGGGAAATGCGCACACTTGCAAAGTCAGTTGTAATAAGTGCTATACAAAAATAAAGCCATATGGAAAATAGAGTCCTTTTTATACAGGGCAGTCAGATACACCAGGAATGAAGGAAAGCTCCACAGACACCAGAGAGAAAGGTATGCAAAAAGAAAAAGTGTTCCTTGAGGCAAGAATGAGGCCGGGGCTGAAGCCCGTCTAAATGTTGTGGGTATTTTGATCATTCTGACACTCCTGAGACTCCAATGAAGTTTGCATTGAATCAGAGGGCAGAGCTAGCTACTAGCTGACCAAAATTAGCCATAGAGGTCTTGGAGGACTGAGGACAGTTAGACACAGGAAGTAGTAGGGTGGGTCTTAGAGAGGGTCTCGGCCCTTTTGGATGGAGGAATGAGAGAGCAGAGGTCACTAGTTGCTTCTCTGATCATTCAGGTTTTTGCCCCAATACCTGACTCCTGAGTTTTTATTGATAATTAGGTTAAACACTTCAGGGGCTTTTACTCTTCCCTTAATGGTTTCAGAGTTAGAATTCCTGGCCACTCCCCCAGCTGCATGGCCACACATGCGCAGTTCAGTAGCCAAGCAAGGGACTTTATGTCTCATTTCATCGGTGTGGTCACGCAATCGGCACATGTGTGGTGTAGCTCCGTAAGCCCACATGAGCATGTGCAGGGAATCCTTAAAAAGCCGGTCACAGACTCTTCCCCTCTCTTCTGCTCTCTCCTCCTTCCCCCTCTCTCCTTTCTCCTCACCATGTCTGCCTGCATGCCACCATGTCCCACCATGATGAAAATGGACTGAACCTTTGAAAATGTAAGCCACCCCAATTAAATGTTTCCTTTATAAAAATTGCCATGGTCATGGTGTCTCTTCACAGCAATGGGAACCCTAAGTAAGACAATGAGTTTTGGTAGTGGTTGTTGTGGTTTTGCTTTTTGAAACAGGGTCTCACTATGTAGCCCTGGCTGGCCTGGAATTTTCTATGCAGACCAGGCTGACCTCAAATTCACAAAGATCTGCCTGCCTATATCACTAGAGTGCTGGGATCAAAGGTATGCTTCACATGCCCGGCAATAAGTATCTTATTCCTGACTCAGAGCTAAGAAATACTTCACTCATGGAAAGTCTTCCTTCTAGCAAGATGTAATGTAACATCTGTATTCCAACACTTGGGAGACTGAGACAGAAAGATTATAAGCCAAAGACACTTGTTTTTGAGATAGAGGTCTTACTATGTGGCCTTGGCTGGCCTGGAACTCATTATGTAGACCAGGCTGGACATGAACTCATAGAGATTGACCTTTTGCCTCCCAAGTGCTGGGATTAAAACGGCATGTACCACCATGCCCAGTTATTAAAAATACACCTTTAAAAAAACGGCGATCATAAATCTCTGCTTTTCTATTGTTAGTCTGCCTTGGTAGGGTGTCAGCCACGTCCCTGGATGAGACATAAGATCATCCCATCTTCTACTTCTACACTATTATCTGGTCAAGGGTCTAGTATAAAAGCCAATAGGATAGCATTAGGACACGTCAACCACGCTAGGACAGAGTTTTAAGCATCATGGACCCAACTGTTGCAGAGCTGATTTGAATAAAATTTAGAGGTGACACCTGTAAGGTCAAACTGGGTGTGAGAGGGGAGATGCCAGATTATACTGGCTTCAGAAAACATCTTAGGCTTTTCTGGTGCCCAGGGTCAGCTCTCCTGCTTTTCAGCCCTCCAGGGGTTCTGAAACAAGACTAAACCTGAGAGCTTTGCTGAGGCAGAGCAGATGCAACACTAGACCTGAAATGAGGGGGAAGTCTAGGGTCTTGACTCTTTGTGGCCCAGTTTTCTCGCTCTTAGAGGATAATCGTCATAATTTCAGAAGGCCGTTAACAGTTCCACAGAAGATGATGCTCAATGGTACTCATCCCTTTGGACTCTATCTCCGAGCATCCTAAGTTTATACTTTTTCCAGATGGCCTATCAGGCCCAGCCTCCTGAGAAGTGGGGTATTCTCATTGCATAGATACTTGATTCACAGGTTTGTAGCATGGGCTGTTGTTCTAGTGAAAACTTTGGCCTGCTTTTTTTAGTGACTGTCTTCTGGTCCACTTGCTGAGCTACTGATCTCGTCACAGATCACAATGTTGACCAACTTTCCCATCCTCGGATGCCACTGTAGGAAACAGGTTCCTTTGTTTATTTTTGTTTTCAAAGACAGGGTTTCTCTGTGTAACCCTGACTGGCCTGGAACTCTCTCTATAGTCCAGGCTGGGAACTCACAGAGATTACCTGCCTCTGCCTGCCGAGTTCCAAGACTAAAGGTGTGCGCCACCACCGCCCAGTGGAAGTAGGATCTTACAGGTCGTCACTGAATCTTCTTGTTCTCAGCCTTCATTGCAGATATGGGAACCGTGTTCCCTGAA